TCAACACATATCATGACGTATTTGAGGCTCAAGGACCTGGAAGTAGTTGGGACAATTCGCAGCATCTGGTGGCGACTCCGTAGCTTGCATTGTGATCATCGAGATCAGACGTTGACCATGGGCAGCACGGCAACGACAAAGAACACCCAGAGCGACCTCCAACGATGGCTTGAGACTACTCGCCATGTTTTTGAGGAACGAAGCAACTCAGGCAGATCCTTCCCTGGTGTGGTCTCCGCCCTTTCCTTGGAAGTCGCGCGCCCCAGTATGCTTCAAAACCGTCAGGTCCGCCGTCCTCAGAATGATCAGGCCCAAGAGAACGCTGAGCATCCTTCCACTGCTTCCACGGCATCAGGCCGGGCGGGGTCAGGACGTTCAGGGTCTGGGAACTGAGATGAACCTTGAGACGAACATGGGGATGATGGCAATGAACTCAGACGAACTGAGATGAACTGAGCCGTTCCAATTTTTCAACAGCTCGCAAGCTCCTCCTGGCAGCTGTTTGACATTTGCACTGGTCACTGGGTTGTGCAGGCTGTACAGGTGCCGACCGGTGCAGCGTCAATTGATGTCAATTGCATAGCAATGTGCTTTCGTAGATGTGCGCGGTACGACCACCCAGAAATATCCAGAAATTACCACAAGCACTCAGGTTCATTTATAACATATCAATACATATCATAGAACACACGCGCACACACACACACATATATCATATATATATTATATATATAATTATATATATATATATACATAATATACACCTAATTATACTTTATATGTATATAATTGTATATATATATATATATTATGTATAACATATATATATATATATATACATATGTGATACATATGTGTTTATATGTTTGTTGAAAGGACATTCTATCAGAACATAAAAGGCACACAATTCTGAATGAAATCGGATGATGTTGGGGTCGTGGCACGTGGGCCATCAACGTGAAAGCATTGCACACTTGGATGTGACAATGATGTGGGACCTGTAGTGGTCTGAGACACTGAATGAGATCATCCACTGAGTCTTTCTGCACCCACTGATTTTCAAGATAGAGCTGTCCATGTGCCTGCAGCTAGCACGTCCTCATGGACTGAATTAAATTAAAAACAAATAATTTAAAGAGCATTGCGTAGTGCAGACTGATGGAAAAATGAACTTTGAACAATTGGGACCCCTTGCCGTCCAACTGTTCCTCCAAACTGGATGACCGGGACGCCCATTGATTGTTCAACAGTCTGTCAAGCGAAAGCTGGGCGACTCGGCAAACGGAGACAAAAGCTGGTGTGTTTTTTTAAATAACAAGTTGACAAAAGAAAAATAAAGAAAGAAACAACATCTTCAGCCCTTGGTCTATGGATGTCTCCGGATTTGTTGTAGCATTTTGAAGCTTATCAGCGCAGCTATTCGCGTGTGGTCAGCAGGACTCGCTTCGGGTGAGAAACCTGCCTATAGCCTTGTGTCTTACTAGCCAGCCTCATCCCGTGTCCCGACGTCATCGGGAAGCGGAAAACCGGACAAAAAGGATCCAATTCGCATCCTATTTGCCTCAAATTCATTGCTTCAGAAATATCATGAAATATCGGACATGCTTTATGCAGGCTATGCAGGCTATGATTCCCCGACCCAAGATGCCATTGAGATGCCATTGAGGCCCTCCCTGGTTTTCGTGGGCTCGGCCTTGCTAGGAGAATGGGATGCTTCATCTTCCAACAGTGGAGCAAAGAACATGAAGTGATGTGACAGCGATGGGTTCTATCTTGTTCTATGCGGTTCTTTGTTGTTCTTCAGTTTTTTAGAAACAGAGCTGATTGCATCATCCCGCATGTTGAACAGGAGCTTTGCGGCGACCAGACAGGCGATCATGAAAGATCCGTCTAAAGCCAGATGATCAAGTCATATCAAGTCCTTAAAGTTTGGGGAGTCGTAAATTTATGAACCACAAAGCCTTTGTGATTCAGGAGGCGGCTGCAGCAGACTCGTGCCTCCGAGCAAACTCTTTAGATCTTCAAGTTGGATGGTTAACCTAGGACCCACCAGCTTCAGGCACAGGTTGGAAAGGAGTACTGGGGTTCAGCTTTTTACCTTTATTTCTTTTGGTGCCGAAGACTGCCAATTCAGTTTGCAGAAACAAGCGCGCAGTCCTGTAGTGCACTTGTTTCGGGTGGTGCTTTCGTAGCCAAATGACACACGTGCAAGGAGTCTTGAAATGAATCCTGATGCTGAAGCTCTAGCCGCTGTCAATCCCTATAGAATGCCATGGCCGAATGTTGCCAAAATTTTAAAAACCTAATCCCTAAGGTGCAGCAGAAAAGCGTCGTGACCTTGCCCTGTGCTTGGACATGCTCGGACCATCTTGGACCCTTTCTGGATGACTTTGGGGAGTGCAGTGATTGACACTCCACCCATTCTTTGTCCCCGCAGATGTGAATGTTTGGGCAGTTTCAGCGCAATCACGCGCCCTATCCCTACGCCCGTTTTCCTTATGACATTTTATCTCTGTGATTCATCCATGTACATCCCATCTAGCGCTCATCCGGAGACTTCAATAGGTGTCATCAAAGAAGACCAACGAGGAATCTCTTCTGTCAGTCTGTGCAACAGGCACACCCGCGACTTCCAATGCGTAAGTAGATGAAACCGCAAGTGATGCCGCTGTAAATGTGTCAACTTCTTGGAAAAACATGAGCAAACAATGTAAATAAGCTATATAAGTATACTTCTGTAGAGGCAGGAGCATACTCAGCGCAAGAGCTCTGGCTTAGGGCAACCCATACAATACGGGCAGATGGAAGACCCTTCTAAGCACAGTTCGGATGACGTGGATGGCATGAATGTGTGTTTGATGTCTGGAGATGAGATGCGCTTGCACTTCACAAACAGCCAGAGGAGCTTGACACCTGTGATAATAATAATAATAACAATAATAATATTATTCATAAAAATAGTATTATAATAGTTTTAATTTAGTGATAGTAAATAATAACTATTCATATTATGTATATATATATATATGTATGTATATGTATACGTATACGTAGAATTATAGACCTTTTCATGTTTTTATGCTTTTCCAACGGTTCTTCAATGGATTTTTCGCTTTGCTTTTGAAGTGTTCGTGCTTTCTGCTTCTTCCCTGGGGCTGTGTGCTGTTGCATAGTTCAACTCGATTTTGCACGAGTGAGGCCTATGTTTTTTGGTCATTTGCCAAGTTTCAGAAGGCACAGCTTGTCTCATCCCTACATGTCGCAATATTCCGCAATCACTTGTCAGACTTGTCAGACCTTTGGTTTTCCAAGCATGGGCTCTGTCTAGACACCAGTGAAGACCCGTTAAGAGATTGCCCAGGCAGATGCATCGCAGCTGGAAGCACTCTCAAGAGATGTCATGGACAAGGCGTCATTTGAGAATTTGGTAAATTTTGATTATCTTTGGTGAATTTTCCATCCTACTCCCAACTGCCCAAGTCGTGGCGAAATCCCAAAAATCTTGAAATTAGCTTGGGGGAAGGTTTTTGTGGAAGTCGTGGCGATGCGGCGTCTAGCTTGTGTTTAGGGTAGGTTGCTGTTTTACTATCTCATGTAGACCTAAAGTGGCCAAGCGGCGTTTAGGTTGTGTTTGGCTGCGGCTGCTGGTTCGACGGCTGCTGCTGTTGCTGTTTCCGGGCACTTCTACACAACGCTGGGATTATCATCTCTACACTGCCATGGCGGTGTGCTGGGATTCTGCAAATTGTCATTGTTTCGCTACCTGTGATCCAAGGAAGGGCAGGTTTGCGGCTTGCGGGCCAAAGTCCATGTGTGTAGATGCGGGGCTTTTTCCGTACCTCGTTTTGGACCTCGTTTTTTTCCTTTATCAGAACCCGTCCTGCAGTATACAAACTAGGAAAAGGGCCTGCTTCGCGTTTTTGTTTGTGGGCGTCAACAGTACCCACGAAAAAAGGCCCGTTGGAAACCGGCGTTCCGATGGGATTCGATCAAAAACGAATAGAACCATGATAGTTTGGTCAAGGCTTGTTAAAGCTAGCGTTTCCAATGGGGAAAGGGGGTTTGCAAGGTCTGTGCCGGGACAGGGGTCGTGGCGAGCGTTTTGATTGGGAATAGCTGTCAAACGCAAACATTGCAAGGACTTTGGCGTATGGGTGTATGCCATTTGCTGGGTTTGGCAAGTCTTGTTATGAAGCTTCCGGAGCATTCGCGTCTTGTGTATGCTCGGATTTGGGGTCTAAGTTGGCCGGATTGTCACAACCCAGCATTTGACATATTTCGTCCATGATTCACAATCTCCAAACTAACCATGCAGTATCCTTTAGATTCCTTTTGTATGATTTAGTACACTGGTTGCAAATGTTGCAAATTGTGGCCACATGATTGCAACCATAAAGAGCGCCTGATGGATTTGCCAAGATCCAAAAATTCCATAAAAAGCCTAATTACGCTCGGTTTTGAATGTTTCAGAACTAGCAAAAACGAGCTAAGGACTAGATACATATCAAGATGCCCGTTCAGCACAATAAGTACAACAAATAGTTTAAAAAACACAACACCTGTATAATACAGAACATGTCAAATGTCGATTTCAGTTCCTTTTGAGCACTTAAAGCACGTGGCCAGGCTGCAGAATTTGAACCAAAGGAGCTGGCAAACAGGTGAGATGCGGCAAAGAAAGGGTTGATCGCTTGTGACCAATTGATGACTCTAGCAGACTCTAGCACGCTGAAACCCATCACGACCGAAGCTCTATGCATTAGGGCATGGGCGGCCACGAAGTTATTGCTCCGCGAGACTGTTGTGTCCTCAAAACTGCAGCTTTAAGGCACATGGAAGTTCATTCCGCTCATTTTGAGCAATTTGAAGCATCAAGCAGTGATTTTTGCAAGTGCTGCTTTGCCATGCTTCCCCTCCAGAGGGAGCTGTGTAGTGAGTCTGTCACTGGTGGCTTGAACATGCTTGAACAGCAATTCTGCTGCTTTGTGGCTCAAGGAGATCTGATACCCTTCAGTTACTCCCTCCATCATACGTTTTCTCTCCATGACCCTGTCGAGATGCTTGATGACAGGATACATCGTCCTTGTTATAAGTGCAAAGTGGAAGCTGTCAAGCAGATGTGCTTGAATATGCTGAAACACTTGTTACACTTCATATGTTTGCATCGTATGTGTGTTTTATTCACGAGAAGTCTGGCTCAGGACTTGCGGCGCTTTTATTCCTTGTGCTCTCACACGTTGATGCAGCCGATTGCACGTGCCATTCTGGAATGGAGGGATAACTGCTGCAGACCACAAAACCATCCATAATAGCCCTGCTCAAACTTAGGCATTGCGAGACAACCGCCGAAGATGACGCGCTGCTATCAAAGGCAACTGTTGAGTCAGGTAGATTCAAGGTAGAATTAGTATGAATTCGTGGGCTGGACCGTCCATCGCAGCTGCTATCCAGCTGCCACCCACTAATGGAGACTTGCAGGTCGAGCTGCTTCAAACGCATCTGGATTTGCAAAAGAAGCCTGTCGATGCTAACTCTTCAAAGGAAGAGAAATCCACAGAGCAGCTGGAGGACTTGAGGGACACCCCTGAAATTTGGTAATGCCTATCTGGAATTTTCACATTGAAATCATACAAAAGCTCAGTTTTTGGGGCCCGGAAGGGGTGTGCACAGATTTTTGCAGGATGTTGTAGCAGCCAAGCTCCAAGAGAAGAGCACGGTCCTTAGATCTTTTCAATATTTTTCAGAGAAGTTTTGAGCCTGGCTGACTCATCTGACGCTGACCAAGCCGTAACATATCGTAACATCCTGTGACTCTGTCTTTCTGTACAACTCGTGCTGCCAGACGGCTGATACAGCCGCTTTCGAGGTCACAACGGTGCGTTGCATCCAAGCATTGCATCCCTTGCGAGCGAGCACTTGCTGCTTCATGGCACTTGATTCGCTCGCTTGAGTTCACCAAAAAAGATCTAAAAGACAAGTAGTTATACGTTTTATAAGTATAAGATAGTATAAGTATTATAAGATATTATAAAGTAGCTTTAAAGCTTGGAGAAGCTTGGCCATTTCAATGATCAATGCATGTCAGCCTAAGGATATCCTTCCTGGATGAAGTCAGCTTGGCGACAGGCCAGGGTCTGTCATGGCCAGCTTGGGCTGTGTCTTGCCTTGAAGTTTATAAATTCATGTCACTCATGTCATTTCATGTCTCTGACCTGCCAAGTGCATCCAAGTGCCATTTTGGACAAGTCTACAGATGTCTGCGGTAAGTGCTTGCATAGTATATGGTAAATGATTCTAAATCAGATGGATTTTGCGCGACATTGCCCAGCTATCCCTGATTTGAGTCTTTCAAGTGACTGCAGAAACTTGAGTTGACCTTCCAGCCAAGGAGTACTTCCCAACACATGGACAAGGGCGTGTGATCGGCATTTCAGGATCAATCTGTTTGCTTCTCTTTTGCTACTGGATCACCACCTTGAAGGCCAGGAAAGTCCATACTCTGTCATAAAGCTGTCATGAACCTGTGACTGTTTGCTTTCGAACCGTTGAGGGGTACCTTTTGAGATTTTGGAGACTCAGTGCCAGGAAGTGCCCCCAATGATGCGTGAAACACAGAAGGGTGGTCCCAAGGATTTGAGACCAATTAGCCTCGAAGAGCTGAAGAAACATTCGCACCAGGCCGGGCCAGGCTGCATGCCGCACCTTGCAAGAGACGAGAGATATACGAGGAGTTTACGAGAGAATGCGGGAGAAATTATGAAAAGAACTAGCGGATAGCGATGGATAGCGTTTGTGTTGTAACACGTTGTTGACGAAACATGACGGAACCATGAGTCAGACACATAGAATGTGATTGAATGTTGAAATTACGTTGGCCATACGGAAATATGTAGTGCAATTGGTTTCCAGGGGTGGGGGACAGGAAACAGAAAGCACGGTTGGGACGCAATCACCAGGTTGGCAGGGCAGAACATGTGGAGTTTCTGTATGTTTCTGTGGCTTCGAACCAGGGAGATCTGTGGATGGCGGTGGACGGCTTGGTAGCCAACCTGACGGATTTCGCCACCAGCCATCCAGGAGGAGTGGACTTGCTTTTGCAGCACGCAGGCAAGGCCAGCTGTGGCGATACAATGTTCACAATAAAGCAATATAATTCCCACAAGATTTGGCTTGATAGGTCATCATGATTCTTGATGCATATCATATTTTTGAGCTGACGCTCATCGTCGGCTCCGCCGGAATACGCGACCCTCCATTTCATCGCAGTGTGGGTTTGAAAGCTATTGAATTTGGACCTGCTTCAGAAATATATTCCTTAGGTTTTTTGGAACATATTTGTTGGAAATAGACGGTTTTTTTTGGGAGCAAGTGAGTTCCCGAAAGCTCCTGCAAAGGGTTTTTCCTAAAGAACCGCTGCCAATTTCAACGTGTTACTTCGTGTAAAGGCGCCTCTGTGCAAAGACTTCTCTGTGTAAGGGCTTTTGTGTGTAAAAGTTTCTGTGTGTAAAAATTTCTCTGTGTAAAGACTTCTTTGTGTAAAAGCTTCCTTCTGTGTGTGAAAGCTTCTCCGTGTAAAAACTCTCTGTGTAAAGGCTTCGCTGTGTAAAAGTTTCTGTGTGTAAACGCGTCTGTGTGCTAAAGCTCTCTGTGTAAAGACTTCTTTGTGTAACGATTTTGTGCGTAAAAGCTCCTCGACGTTTATGTGCAAAAGCTCCTTAGAGTAAAGACTTCTCTGTAAAACCTTCTGTGTGTAAAAAGTTCCTTTGTGTAAAGACTTCTCCGTGTAAAAGCCCCTGTGTGTGTAAAAGCTTGCTGTGTGTAGACGGTTTTGTGTGTAAACGCTCCTCTGTGTAAAGGCTTCTCTGTGTAAAAGCTTCTGTGTGCAAACGCGTCTGTGTGTAAAAAACCATCTGTGTAAAGACTTCTTCGTGTAAAAACTTCTGTGTGTAAAAGCTCCTCGACGTTTATGTGCAAAAGCTCCTTAGAGTAAAGACTTCTCTGTGTAAAACCTTCTGTGTGTAAAAAGCTCCTTTGTGTAAAGACTTCTCCGTGTAAAAGCCCCTGTGTGTGTAAAAGCTTCTGTGCGTCTCCTCCCTCCAGCTTTCTTTCGGGTCACGCTGTCGTCCAGTTTCAATCTGCAACGTTGTTTCTTGTGGAAGAATGCAAAGAACATGTGAAAGCATCGCGCGTTTAAAAATTGAACATAAACAGCGCACAAAGTGCTGTAATTTCCAGCATTTTGCGCTGTCAGATGGCAAGAACCCGTGTAAATACCACAGTTTTAGTCCCCGAAAGTGGCTAAAACATGCTAAAACACAGTTATTTACAGGGTTTCGTTCACGTCACCATCTTCGATTTTTCCCCACCTGCCAGGTGAGGGTTGTTTGATTTTATCAGAGCTGTTCTCCTCCTCCTCCTCCTCCACCTCCGCCTCCTCCGCCTCCACCTCCGCCTCCTCCGCCTCCTCACCCGCCGCCTCCTCCTCGCAGTCCAGATCCCAGTGGGCACAGCCGGACCTCCACCGCGAGCTCCAGATCCCAGTGGGCACTGCCGGACCTCAACCGCGAGTTGCAGATCGCAGTGGGCACTGCCGGACCGCAACCGCGACTTCCAGGTCGCAGTGGGCACTGCCGGACCTCAACCGCGAGCTCCAGATCCCAGCGAGCACTGCCGGACCTCAACCGCGACTTCCAGATCGCAGTGGGCACTGCCGGACCTCAACCGCGACTTCCAGATCGCAGTGGGCACTGCCGGACCTCAACGGGAAGAATGTCAGAAAAGATGTCAGATAGAATGTCAGAAGATATGCCAGATAGAATGCCAGAAAGAATGTCAGAAAGAATGTCAGAAGATATGTCAGAATATATGCCAGAAAGAATGTCAGAAGATATGCCAGATAGAATGTCAGAATATATGCCAGATAAAATGCCATGAGATATGCCAGATAGAATGCCAGAGGATATGCCAGATAGAATGCCAGAAGATATACCAGATAGAATGCCAGAAGATATACCAGATAGAATGCCAGAAGATATGCCAGATAGAATTGCAGATAGAATGCCAGATAGAATGCCAGAAGATATGTCAGAATATATGCCAGAAGATATGCCAGATAGAATGCCAGATAGAATGCCAGAAGATATATATGTCAGATAGAATGCCAGAAGATTTGCCAGAAGATATGCCAGAACATATGCCAGAAGATATGCCAGATAGAATGCCAAATAGAATGTCAGAAGATATGTCAGATAGAATGCCAGAAGATTTGCCAGTAAGAAAATGTATAAATGTCATGGTGGGGATCACACGAAGTAAAGTAATTTGAAAAACACGTAAATACCAGCGTTTTTTGCGTTCACCAAGACAAAAAATCGGTTCAAAAAGTGCAAACAATGCTGTAATTTACAGTGGTTTAGCACCGTCACAGCCAAAAAAACTGCGTAAATACCAGCGTTTCGGCGTCCAAAAGTGGCCAAAACACGCCGGCTCCACGGTCCCAGAGCGACTAGAGCTCTATGGTGAAGGGCGCCCCAAGCCGCCGACCCTTCGACCCCTGGCCCCGAAAAACACCAAAAATCCTTCACTCTGCTGGGGGAAGCTTTTTGGACGGAATCCGGGTCGCTCATAAGCGTCTCCAAGAGCATTCCCCCCCCGTTTTGAGGGTACCTAAAATCGGAAAAAAGTGCCCTTTTGACACATTTTTCGGACGATTTTTGGCTTTTCGAAAGTAACAAAATGCTGTAAATTACAGCACTTTTGCGTTTTAACGTTTTTTGCGGGAGCAATGCAAAAACGCAGAAAAAGCTGTAAATACCACTACTTTTTAGACCCGAGATGCAGAAAACACTGCAAATACCAATGTTTTTGAAAGCAAAGCAAAAAAAAAAAAACACTATAAATTACGGCATTTTTGGTGGGTTGATCGCAAAAAATGTGGTATTTATACGGTTTTTGCAATTTCAAGAAAACGTGGAAGGCACGAAACACTGTAAATAGCTCCAGGTAGCTCCAGTGGTGCTACCTTGAGTTTAGCTTTCCGAAGTAAAGGGGAGGCTGGCCAGCCCAGTTACCTGATTATTCAGGATTGCTGTTCATTTCAGGACTCTCCCCCCCCTCCGCCCCCTCCGCGAACCCTAAGAGCAGACCCAGAACACTGTAATCTACAGTGTTTTTGTACCTTTGGCATGGACAAAGTACTTCTTGCAACATGCTGAAAACTGCGTAAATACTAGTGTTTTGCTAGGCACTGGCCCAAAAAACATTGTAAATACCGTGATTTTTGTTACCAGAGGAAAAAAATCGTAAATACCGTGGTTTTGGGTTTTGGAGGCGCAAAACAAAATAAGTATTTACAGTGCTTTTTGCTCCGAGAGCTTCAAAAACGTGAAAGCACAACCTATTTGACGATTTTCGGCCACTACTGGACTGAGAAAAAAGCTGCACGGGTAACAGCGGCAACAACAACATCAACAACCACCACCACCACCACCACCACAACAACAACAACAACCACAACCACAACCACAACCACAACCAACAACCAACAACCAACAACACACAACACACAGCAAACAACAAACACAACAAACACAACAAACACAACAAACACAACAAACACAACAAACACAACAAACACAACAAACAAAACAAACAGAACAAACAGAACAAACAGAACAAACAGAACAAACACAACAAACACAACAAACACAACAAACACAACAAACAGAACAAACAGAACAAACACAACAAACACAACAAACACAACAAACACAACAAACAACAAACACAACAAACACGACAAACACAACAAATACAACAAACACAACCACAACAACAACACCAACAACAGCAACAGCAACAACAACAACGACAAAGACAACAATGATAACCACGACAACCACAACAACCACGACAACCACAACAACAAGGACAGCAAGAACAACAAGAACAACAAACGCAACAAGAGCAACAAGAACAACAAAAACAACAAGAACAACAAGAACAACAAGAACAACAAGAACAACAAAAACAACAAAAACAACAAAAACAACAAAAACAACAAACAACAGTAACGGCAACAGTAACAGCAACGGCAACAGCAACAACAACAACAACACCAGCAGCAACAACAACAACAAAAACATCGAAATTTATGATCAAAGTGTTGCCCGCCCAGACACCTTTACACACAGAGGTTTTTACGCAAAAAAGGCAGCATTTACACACAGATGCTTTGTACAAAGATGCTTTTGCACACATAAATAAAGGCACATAGGCGTTTTTACGCACAGAACCTTCTCCACAGAGTAACCTTTGTACAGAACAGTTTTTACACATGTTTAGTCTACGCAAAAACAAATTGACACAGAGAAACTTGTACACACGGACTGCACACAAAAGTTTTACAGACCGACTTTTTTGCACGCAGAAACTTTGCCCAGAGCAGTTTTTACACAGCGGATTTTTTATTTTGCACAGAAACCTTTACGCCAAAAAAAAATATGCATAGCATTTTTTACAGACAGACGGTTTTTACACACAGAAAATTTTCTGCACGGAAGTCGCTTTACGCACAGAAGGTTTTACACACAGCATTTTTTGAATACAGACGCTTTTACACACAGATGTCTTTGCACAGGCACCAATTGCACACAGAAACTTGTGCACATAGCACGCGTTTACACACAGCCAACTTTTACACGGAGAGGTTTTGTTTCCCCTTCTTGCTCACCTACGTTTCGTGTTCCCCCTCAAGTGTATTTTTTGATCCCTCATTCGTATGCACATTAATATGCATATATGTATATTAATTTATATTAAATTGTATTGTATTATAATATATTATATTATATTGTTTGGTATTATATATTTTTATATTTCTTGTATTTTCTTTTTTTTAACCAACTTAAATTTATTATATGATTTGATATGATATGATATGAATATTATATATATATATTGTTATATGATATGATATGATTTGATATTATATGATGTTATTATTTATTTTATTACAGTATAATATATTATTATATTTTTCGTATTGTATTTATATTATTATATTTTTTAGATTGTATTATATCATGTCTAGTTACAATTTATCGTTTTAACATTCTAACTTATTTTATGATATTTTATTATATGATATTATATCATATTTTATTATAAATAATTGTATTATATTTTAATTTGGTAAATTGTATTGCATTATATTATATTGTATTTTTTTTGACAATTTATTATATTATATTAGATTATATGATTTGATATTGAATTCTATTATATTTTAATCTAGTTTATTACATTATAATTTATTATATTACAGTATACATTATGTAATTTAATATTGTTGTCTATTATTTTATTATATTATATTATATTATTCTATATTATATATGATATGATATGATATAATATTATATAATATTATATTATATAATGTTATATTGTAATATATTATATTATATAATATTATATTATATAATATTATATTATATAATATTATATTATATAATATTATATTATATAATATTATATTATATTATATTTTTTTTTACAACATAGTTTATTATATAACATTAAATTACATTATATTAGATTAAGTTATATTATATGATATTTTTTGTTCAAAATATGTTGAATTCTATTAAACTAAATTATATTGAAATATACTGTATTATATACATACATACACCGTGAACTCCAGGCACCGAAGCTGCTGAGCCATTCCACGATGTCGGTCATTCGGAGTTTGCCTTGGAACAGCGCCTTGGCCGCCTTGTTGCAACTTTGACTTCAATGATTCCGAATGATTCCGATGGATACTGATAACATCTGACATGGCACAAGTCTGAGGCTAAATTTCCTTGGTTGTGGTTGTCACAAATTTGTCAATTATTCTAAGATATTCTAAGCAATTTAAGAAATATATCGAAATATGAGGGATGCTTTTGAAGCGTTTTTGTAAGATCTTGTAACCTGATTGCGGTCGCGGAGAGGGTGGTAACAGTCCAGCCAGGATTCAGAAGCGTGCAGTCGGTATCCTTGAGAACGTTCAAGTCAAGGGAGCCATTGCGATTGAAAAGGACACAGTGTCTGAGCATGCAATGGCTCTGAGATGCTCTGAGCATCTCCAGACAGTTGGACCGCATTGTAACCCACAATAGCTGATAAAATCTGATAAGCCACAAGCAAGGTATTGTAGAGGAAATTTTGCAAACCGCAACCTTACTGCCACCAATGTGTGTGTGTGTGTTTGTCTACGGGAATAGTTTTTTGCGTGACCAACAGTGTTCCACTCGCGGAGGTCATGAGTCGCATCTTCACAAAGGAGGACCCATACAATGTCCGAGCCGTAACAATTTTCTTTGCATGGTATGCAACAGACTGCAATGTACTTTAAACAAGGCATATGCGCAAAGGTGTGCAGGCACATGCAGGCACTGGTTGAACATAATCTGAGAGTCATCTCTTCACATCTCTTCACATTTCTTCTTCCTTTCAAATGTTTTTTCCTCTCACATGTTTTGTATAAATTTGCAACTGCCACGCTCGCACAGGTTCACAAGGTCCTTGGCTTCACCGTCCTGTCCATGTACCTGTACAGAATCTTCGTGTGGTGCTGCAGGGTTCTCAGATTTCAAACCAATCGCCGTCACATGCGGTTGGAATCAGTATCCGTGATTATTCGTGATATTCCGTTGCCATGCAAGCTATTCGCAAGCTATTCAACTATACCTGAAACCTACTAAAACACATTAAAGATCAATAGAGAAATATAAACAAGGACTGTGGTGTTCCAGTGTTGCCGGGCTTCATCTTGATTGTGGGGCCTGCATGGGCCTGCTGAAAGGCCAGTTAGCTCCTCCAAACGCTGACTACGCCGGCTTCAAGCCTGATCTGTGGGCACTGGAGCCCTGGCTGCGCTTGGCATTACGTTGCCATGTATGGTGGAAGACGGTGGACGTACTCAGTGAAGCTGCTCTCAGTCACCTTCAACGATGCGACGCCAACATGGTTTGAATTCGTGATATTTCCTCTTGATTTTCCTGGCTCTAGAGTCACTTCTGCGCTTTCATCTCCGGGCGATCTTTCCAATTTTGGTTATTCAAGTATCTTCACGGGCCACAATGCATTAGCCTGCTCACAAAAGGCACACGATTTACAACACCTTGCTGTATGCAATCAATGTATATTCTATATTTGTATGTATGTGTGTATATTTATTTATTTCCTTATTTATTATGGACACGGTGTAGGGAAAAGCCTCCGGAAGCCATGGCAAAAAACAACTTTATTTATTTATCCATCTATAATATATATATATATATTTATTCATTCATTTGTTTATGCATGCCCATAAACAAATTCATAGATTGAAATAGATTGAACTATATTGAAATTAAGTAGCCAATGGAAAATGAGCGGTGATTGTTGAATATGTTTGATGCCTCTTACATCTGAATATTCTCTCACTGGATTTCACAAGTGCTCTCCTATGCTCTCCTTCTGCTCAGGCCAGCATTTTCATCGTGGAGGGGCTGCAGGTTTCCTCCTTTATCTTCACAGTGCCGCAAAACCGCCCGCTGTCCGGGCCAATGATTTGGCAGGAGTGGTGCCTTGACTGCCATGTACCAAGCGTTGCCAAGTGTTGCCAAGTGTTGCCAAATGTTGCTGGGAAAGCGCGCTTCTAGGAGAAACATGGAGAAACATGGAGAAAACATGGAGAAAACATGGAGAAAACATGGAGAAAACATGGAGAAACATGTCTGTTTCTCTTTCCCCATCTTTTCCCTATCAGCAGTCAACCAGCTAAGCCACTCCGTGCATGGCTGTGCTTTGTTGGGTGTCGGTACACCACGTTTCAATGCAGCCCTTCTTTGGATACTACTATACCCTGTGGCTCAAAGTTTGCCTTTCTTGACCAGAGGATTTGCATCGCAGCTTGGCAATGCGTATGCTGCCGTTGAGGCCCCCATGGCTGACAAGCCAGCAGCTTCCTCGCAGGGAAAATCACATAGCCCAGCGCTGAAAGTTCTACCACCGTGCCCACCAGTCACCGCCACGTTGAACGATGTGGATGCGTCCGATTGGGCCGGCTGGATCTTGAACCAGGACGCTGTGAGACCACCACAGCGAGAGAATCAAGCTGAGCGACGGCGAAAGTTGGTCCATGCTGCTATGGAGCGCAGCCAGCTGCAAGGCCGCTTAGCTGATGTGGCGGACAAACTGCATGGCCAGGCGCTAGACTTTGCGGAGAGCTGTGTCATGAGTTTGGCACTGTGGCTCCGGTTTGGGAATGCTGACTTTGCGGAGAATTTCGGTTGGGTTCAGCGGACAGACTATGCTGCCATGGTAGCCTTGCCACATCGAGCAGTTGACGCTGCAGTACATCTCTGGCGCCGCGGTATGCATGCCACTGGCGCCAGCACTGCCAGACAGCGCAGTGTCCGTCAAAGTGAGATACGAGCTTGGGACCTGGGGAGAGCACCGGCAGATTTGGAACAGTTGCATGAGGCAGCCGTTAAACGGGAACGCCTCACGTCCGCTGAGAACACGAAGGCTTTGATGAAGTACCGTGCCAGTAGAGTCAATCAGCCTGGGGAAATTCTGGTCCGACAGGCATACGAAAAGCTTATTTTAGGTCAACAGCATTCCTTATGGGACCTTTGGCGCAAGCGCGCTTTTGTGGTGCAAGCAGGGTTGTCAGGTGGTGGTTTCCGACCACTGCGTGAAGCTTTGCGGGTGGTTCGTGGCTACTGCGGTCCTGACATGGACAATGAACATGAAGCATGGGCTTTGGCAGTAGACCTTGTAACCATCACACCATTCACACAAAGCTCAGGCCCAGTGTGGCAGGTGGGGGACTACGCTGCGTTTCTGCGAGAGAGACAACTCAAGCGTTGCTCCCCTCGAGCAGTGCAGCTGTCTAAGACAACAGGCACGCTCAGACCAAAAGGAAGACCACCAAGCAATGTTCCTGGTGCCCCAAAACCGGACCTCACTGGCTTAATTTAATGCTTTGGTGCATAGTCACAGTCAAGTCAGTGCCGAAGAACTCCTTACATTTTTGGTGCTGAGTCAACAGCATGTACTTATCGAATCTTTGTGATTGCGTTGGCATCTTGGCCACGACGATCCTGTAGTGATAGTGCTGGGTCAATCCTCGCACTGTTTCACCTTGAACCGTGCCTTGAGCAGGGAACAAAATTGGATCACAGAGAGATGCAGGGTAGGCCGAACAGATTTGAACAGATCTGAACAGATCTGAACAGATGTAACATAGCCTGACTGAATCTTGCCCTTGAGGTTTTGATTATTTTGATTCGGAAATTATGTTCAAGTCCACAGAGCTACGTTGATCACATCCTAGGCGAGCCCACAACCTGATTTTTGTCAGTCGGTTGACCATCTGCTTCCTTGGCGCTTGGATGGTGAATCGCTACAACGGCATGATGGGGTGGGGATCATGGACGCAGATGACAGTCAACCAGCTTCTTGGATGCAGTTGCTGTACTGTAGTCATCAGTAGCTGCTGCAAATGATTTTTACGGCGAAGTTTTGCCCAATGAAAAGATCACAAGGCAGAACACATCACATAAAATCATAGGGAGCGGCTTTGCCGCTTTGCCCTGAATATTTTGAGTTCATTGGTTGATGAGATGAATAGGATTGAATAGGTGCCATTGAAATCCATAGAACACTTCGCAGACTCTGATGTCCTGAGGCTGTCCGTTTTTGCCCAGATGCGATTGGCAGATTTGGCCACCGCTTGGCTTCGTGACGACACCCACGAGACTTTGGTGAGCACCATGCCCTATTGGGAGCACTGCCCGTGTCGTGGACGCACCAAGATTTTAGCAATTTGCATCAATTTGCTGTATTATGATCCTCCTGGGAATTTTCCTTAAAAAGTTCAGGACATGATGTCCTTAAAAAACTGTATTTTTTAAGGGACATACCTGGCCGGCAAAAAAAAACAGTTCTATTTTTTAAGGAAATCCTGTTGTTTGACGGTCTCCTATTCTTTAAGAGGCCTTCCTTGGAAGATTCTAGGAACTGCACCATATATATATTCATATATCATCATACACATCCACATATCTCTTTAACATGTACATGAATGTACATGATATGTATCCATAAAATCTTAAAAATATTCAGAACATTTCATGCTTGACTTCAACTCGGGTATCCAATTCTTTAAAGGGGCACCCCTTGGTGTGTTTGACGGTCTCCAATTTTTTAACGGGACATACCTGGCTACTGTGTTGCAATCTTGGTTCATTGGGGTTAGATTCTTTAAGGCTGAAATTTGCCCTGGTTCGCATTCTTTAAGAGGCTACCAGTGGTCCCTTAAAGATTCAGGGGTCAGGGTCGGAGGCCGAATTGCAAGGGGGATGTATTATGATTGTTTATGTTTATTATATATATATATATATATTATTATTATTATATTATTATTGTTGTTGTTATTATTATTATTATTAGTATTATATATATATATTATTATTATATTTTTATTATTTATAAATATATATATATACATTATTTTGCTGTATTGGTTGTGGCATGTTGTAGCCCAGCCTCAGGTAGCTTCTAGATTCTAGATGCTTTAGCTTCGACCTGCAGGAAATGGGTGGAGTCCATGTTCCGCACCTGGTACTCCATGTCTCAGATCTACACGACAATTGTCATCATCATTGCAGGTCCAGGGATGGACTTGTATTTCGTTCCAGCCTCATTTGCATCTGGCGTACTTGGCATACTCATGTGGAGTTTCAGCGAAATGCAGTTGGCACAAGATTGTGTATGTTTGCATTTTGGAACTCCAGAGGTGATGATTCTGCCGTACCAGCTGTATTCGGTGTTGATGACCTTTGTCCGGAAAGGCCGGAGAATCGGAACTTTGCCCAGACAAATAGACAAGACCTGAGATACCGTCAAACTATACAATTGCAACACATTGCAACATCTACCGACACAGCACTGTCAACCGATCATGCGAGGCGTCATCTCCTCGCGGACTTGTCATGTGACATACTTCTGGAGCCTGTGGCAAAGTTGGGTCTGTGGCTTCATGATGCAGAGCTTTCGTGTCTTCGTGCAAGTCCAGGCCGGCTGGACAGATGACTTTCTCCAAGCAAGGCATGAGCAGATTGAAATATCGAAGTAAAGCGATGTCAAGCCTTCATAAGCCTTCAAACCAGGCCAGATTGAAGTACCAAGACAAGAGCATGCTCCTACCATGGCTATGCATGACCAAGCTCTGTGTCTGTGTTTCTGAGGCGTTTTCTATCTTTTGCTATTGCACTCGAGCCTTGGAAGCAGTTCTGCCACGATCCTTTGGTCCTTTGGTCCATTCCAGTTGGAATTCAAAGTCAGCGATGCTTCGGAATATTTGGAGGGGGAGTGGGAGACTTGCAGGCAGTGCCTGCATGTGCCTTTTGAGGAGTCTATGGCTTGAACAAGTACGTCCTATGGATCGGGGCATGCACTAGTGTCGCTTCTATAAAATTTAGTGTTTCATCCAGAATGCCTTGTGCTCACCCTTCTTCAAGTATTTGTGCGGATATTTGCAAACTCAAGTTTATTGAATTGCTACGACCATGGCCAAACTCAGTTGCAACTGGTGATGATCAAAAATTGGCCAATCCGTGACTCAGCTGTGAAGCTTCTGCCAGAATGTGAGACGTTTGACCTGTTTTCCACGCGCAGAGGAAAGCGCCACGATCATACATTCTCTTGACAGTTGCAAGAAAATAACATAAAATAACCAATACTCGTAGCAAGCTTGCTGAAACTGGCGAAAGCTGCATCTGAGATTCAGAACAAGATGTGCTTGAGTTCCCGATGTTTACGGTCACCATCCTGATGTGGGCAATCCTGGGAGCTGGTCTCAAGTTCTTCTCTTCCGTGCCTCTCTTCGATTCAAGACATGCTCGATATGTTGAGGCACGCTGCCCATGGGAACAATCATGAACAATCAGCAACCAACCCTGACCTACTGGCTGGACAAAAAACGGTTTTTGGGGAGGTTAAAGTGGAGTGTGTCTCAAAGGCTATTTCATGAGTAGGTCGTAGTAGGTCAGGAGTTTCGGGAGATTGCGTTTCAGGAATTGCGCCAAGACATGCCAAAACAGGTTTTTGATGGTTTTTGTGTTTTGTTTTTGTGGGTGTTTGAACATGGGCCACTGTTGAACACAGTACATGCATGGTCCGGGGCATGATGTGGCTTGCGACAAGAGTGTTTCTTGCCTTAGCAGTGCGCCGAAAAGCGATCGTCGAAAGAAAGGATGTGTTTTTGTCAAGCCTGAGTTGAGCAGCTGTGAAACCATGTGAAACCGACCAATCAAAAGATATCAATCAGTCAAGCCTTCATCCAGTCGATCAACCAATCAGAAAACCCATCAGCCAATCACCAATTCACCAATCATTCAACCAGTCACTACTATTACTATATATATATAATATTTTTTTAAAAAAAAAAACATTTGCAAGCCAACCATTCAACTAACACGCACCAAACATTGATGCATCCAATCAACTAACCGATCAGTCAACCAACCAAGCAGCCCATTCCGGTAGTGAATCGCCTGTCAACAATCATCGAATCAATAAACCGCTTTGATCATGAACCTTTGGGTCTCACATACACAGCCATACGCACGCACATGCACACCGACTCTTCGAATAGGCTCTCCCTTCCCATCTCTTTGAAGCTTCCATCTTCTGGGACTTCTTGGATTTTCACACAAATTTCCACCTCTTCATGATACCGGGCTTGGTGCAGGCACGGCCTAAGAGAGTGATCCTGAGAAGCAAGACCAAAGTCAGCACCAACCTGTACCACCTGAAATTCGACTTCCCATGGTGGCTTGCATGACATTCAGCTTGCCAGATCTTGCCAGACTGGAATGAACGGCAGGGCAAAATCGTCAAGGGTTGCATGGGTTGATTACATTGATCATGGGTTGATCAAGCGAACTGATTGAAACTTGGGAACAGCATGGGACCCACGGCAAATATGGCATAGCAAGTCACGTGGAGTCACGTGGCCATAGCGGGCATAGCATGGCGTATGGCATTGCAATGCATTGCACAGCATTGCGTGGCATAGCTGCATCAGTGAGGTTCTTCCGGTGGCAAGGCTACAGCAGCGGCTTGCAGCCAGGTCAACACGTCAAAATCCTGTGCGGGAATGCGTCCCAGGCAGCTCTACGCGGACACCTTTATATATATCTTTATATAGACGTAAGAATTGCAAAGTGGCATGTTGATATATATATATATATTATAATAATAGTAATAATAAGATTAAAATAAGAATAAAATTGATAGTAATATTGATAATGATATTATAATATTGAGATATAGGCACATAGATGTTGGAGTTAATGACGAACGCTCCGTGCCCTAACATGGTTGCGTGTTTCATGCGTTTTCATTTGTCATTTGTCGCATTCTCGGGACGAGACCAAGACCACCAGGGCAGAAGCACCTGGAATGGCCATGCCAATTTGGAAGTCTCGCGGGATTACCTCAGCCGATCCTACACGTCGCTTGGTGGCTTTCGCACAGCATGGCACAGCTAAAAACATGGCAGGTAGATGCAACCGGTGTATATGGATGTATACGGATGTATGCGAACCGCTGCCTTGAGGCCGATCAATTCCTCAAAGGATTCTACGGTCGACTTCATTGCAACTTGGACTGCACAATCTATGTAGATGTAGATGTTATAGGATGTTATCATATGTTATCCAATATTCCAGTTGCGTTACATGTGCTACTATCGGTATGTTGTCTGTCATTGGAATCACATACATTTAAACACAATTAGACACAGGTATACCACTGTAACGTAATGCCAATCTACCTATGTCATCCTCTGTCATTATGTTACATTGTATGTTACATTGTATGTTACATTGTATGTTACACGCGTGCTTGGTTTTGTGCCTGGTTGGCCTGGCAACGTGACCTGTTAGCGGTGGGCAGGTGAAACTTTATCCTGAAGATGCTCCAGGAGGCTTTGCAGATGGCGGCAGAGGAAGCACGAAGCTATGCCTGGAGGTTAAAGAAGGATGAATCGCTGCTGTGTCGCTTGCAGGGAAGTACATACAGTACACAGACAGTACACTATAGTATACTATAGTGCACTAGCACTACACTGGCAATGTCGCAGGAGAAGAAGTTTGGCTATCTGGACCTCACGGCAGCAAGGTCTATCGTGGCAATGGAAACTTTGTGGTTGATGGGAAACTGATCAAGGCTTCCACCATTTGTGTTGCTTGGCTTGCACTCAGCGGGGGATATCCATTTTTACTTTAATTATCTTTAATTACAGTACTGTATCATTAAGCAATTGAAGTAATAACTGAAGGTTCTTTGTTGCTTTTGGATGCTCTTGGTTATTTTTGGTCACCTTGTTTTGGACTTGTTTGGTATTCTTGTCTTGAGCTTGTTTGTTGCACTGTTTAAGGCTCTGGCAGGTGGATCCGGCATCACGCCGGTCCTCTCATTGCTTCGCCAGTGCCGCGAAGAATGCCGATCAAGCTTTGCAAAGCCGAATGCCAAACACGATCTGATCAAGGAATTCTCGATCATCCATGCCATGCGCAGCATGGACGAAAGGCCACTTTCCTATGAGCTAGATTACAGAGGGCCAGATGGACGGTCGCGCCCAGTGATAGACAGGGAGAGGGAAGATAGAAGTGATAGAAGTGGTATTCCCAAATGTTCATAAAGTTTAAAGCCACATGATTGGTTGGCCCGCTCAGGCTGGAGACCACCTGGTACAATCCGTTGGCGGAGACGGGCCTAGCACCACATTGCACAGTCACACACCTGGCGACAGGTCAGAAGGAACTAACGTTGAAAAGGTCAATGTCACACCGAGAAGGCAAGGAATCGCCTCTCAATGTTTCTCATTTCTCAGATCGGGGGATATCTCAGATTATCTCAGGATCCAGGGCATTCCAGGGCAATCAAATATGTTAAACAACTTTGAGGGATTCGGCGTTTGGTTATCGTTTGTCCCTTTGTTGGTGCAGGGATGGCATACAACTATGGCAAGCTAACAAAAGATGTCATTGCCGAGATTTTCCCTCCAGCGGCAGACCCTCCGTTTCGCAATCAGAGTTTGCTGCTAGCCCAGTTTGAAAGACTTGACCTTGAAATATCTTGAAATGTCGTGCTTTGCTGAGGAAGACTTGGTGATCATTTTGTGCGGTCCGAAGGGGTTTGTGGATGACGTGTGTCAACCCCTCCTGCGAGAGCTGAAGTACAGCAACGTCCTGACAATGTGGTGAGTGATCATTGCATACTGAGTGCCATTCGGCCTGTTCGGAGGCCACAAAAGAGCGCAGTCATGCTACTGTGCCCTATTTCATGGTTGCCCTTATTGACCGACCCATCCCACTCAGCTGGGAAAGAATGGTGTGACGGTCGCCATGTCTTTTGCGCCCCTGTGGGGCCCACTCACCCAGCTTTCTCCCCTTTTCTGCCTGGAGATGATGAGAGGCATCCGATTCAAAAGTGCCGCAGTGCATGTTCTGCGTAGACTCATTCATTCCAAAACTCCGTGATCGATGCTCACATCATGGCACATCAGATTTCATTATAGTGGACTGACATGTGTGGGAGTACAATGACACAGTGAGGCTCTGCTTGGAGTGATTGGTCGAGAGACATAGGCTTCCATCAGTCAATTTGGGATTCGCTCTCAGGATCTCTGTTCATGTGTTTCTCGTTCAGGAACCGCAGTATATACTCATGCTTTCCCAATCCCATGCGCCCAAAGAATGTCACTCAGGCCGCAAGACTTATCCAGTATTTTGTGAGCAATGGCTAAGTTGTCTTCTGCCTGACCCTCATCACCGAAATAGCCCAGCAGAGTGCGAGCAACGAAAGTCCAGCCACGGCATCATACCACATCACTGCTTAGGTCGATCAAACTCTACTAGCTGCCGTTGGTCATCAGGCAGCGCCTCACCACTGTTCGTCTTGCGGAACCGATGATATCAACGGCCCAGGTGATCCAAAGAATGCACGAGCACAGCAGGATCTTCAGTTTGGCTTCGGTGCTTGAGCGTCCTAGCCAGTCCTAGCCATGCAGCAATCGCACATGGCACAGTGGTCAAGTTCTCCCTGTGATATTGCTCTGATATGCTCTGATATTGGGTGATTGGATGTGATTGATACATTTGGCACACGATTGAACTTGTGGAACTTGTGGAACTTGCGAGCTCCCCAGGCCCGCGACAACTTGCAAATGTGGCGCAGTCATTTGGTACCACCAGGCACTTGGAGAAGACAGGACCTCAGCTGATGAAATGCAGAGTGAGAAGAAACCGTAGTATACCGTATATAGTTAGTTTCTGTTTGAGTTCTAGGTGCAAGTGAAGTTAAATCAACTGTGAGCATGGCTTGAGTGTCAAAAATGCAGTCCCACACCTCAATGACATCACATCCAATCTCAAATTCCTCAGGTCATGCTTGGCGGCCATGGCACCACTTCTGCAGAATCAGTTGAGGGAGTTGCAGCCGCTCGGATCCCAGATCGAAAAAGATGTCCGACTGCCCCATGAATCTCCAATTAGACGCAACTGCAACGGAAGATTGAACATGCTCGAACAATCTTGAACATGTCTAGCATGAACAGGTTCCCATTGACTCTATGATGCAGTAGATGGACAAAATATTCAAACACTGCAAAGTACTTCATGGTGACCCCCCAAATCTTAATGTTTCATGGTGCGTGCTACCAAGTGCGGTGCTATAGGGGTTTGATTTCTTTCGTCGATTGGGGCCAACGCACCTCAGTTGACATTAACATTGAACTTTGGGGGCAGGGGTTTCGTTTATCTATGTTTATCTAAATTTCTTATGCAGAAGCATGTCCATCATATATCCTGAAACCTGTCAGCAAATGGATGCCACACTCTCGAGCAGCATGAGCAGCATGCTGTTGGAAAGACGCATAGCCAATGGCTGGAATTTCATTTTGATCATCCTGAGCCTCCTGAGCGTGCCAGTTTCAGGTTCGAACTGCAGAACACATTATGGGAGCAGAACTCAAAAGATTGATCAATGGATATCAATGGATTATATCGGATTATATCAGGATCATGATTCAATATGATTCAATGATGCATCATGATGGGCCACGATGGATCATTTGCATTCATTTGCGACATTGTGGATCGTTCCCTTGCGGCAAAGGCCTGGGCCAGACTTCAGCTGAGAAAGGAGATGCTGTTTCAGGCGCCTGGTCTTGCGTTTGTTGGCAAATGGAATTTGGGCGGACCTTCCTGTGGATGAAAACACCTGGTCCCTCATAGATCGCACCATTTGCATCCATTTGCACCATGCTGCTGCATATTGCTGCATGCACCATGTTGCACTCTCTTGGGCCCTGTGCAAGCACAAGGCCACTTGCGACTGTGCGAGAGAAACTGCGCTTCTACCCTAGCAGCATGCCTTACAGTATGACAATGTATGACATTCTCCGGCCAGACAACCCTGGCTGAAACACCGGTCTGCCACCCTACTCCTTGAGTTTTCCGAGGCTTGATTTTGCACCGAAGAATCTGGCAGAGCTCTTAGCAAAATCAAATCCCCTCGGCAAAGACCTCCCCCTGGACGCTCAAGACATGGGGTGATACTCGTTCTCGTCCATGTTGAGCTTTGTTGAACCCCTTCGAGTTGGCATGTTTCGAATCGAAGGCTGGCATGGCATGAAGAGCTGCTGCTTTGAAGGCACACCTTGAAATGCCCACAGCTTCTGAAAGATCTGACGTTGTGCAAGTATTCCAGATCAGCGATCTCCCATTGCTGGAAGCGATGTCTGCAGCGGCGCTTACGAAGATACAAAGGCCTTCTGTCAGATTGGGGCCGGAAATTGCAGGCTGCAATGCTACGCAAATTGATGACACAAATCCTGTGAGTTATCAAGTCGCAGGTTCGATGCGCGGAGTTTGGCCAGTGGGAGTCCCAGAGGACAGAGCCCAGAGCAAAGCCAAACATGACACACGATTTTCAAACATAGACGCGTGTTGAGGCTGCAAGAAATGGGAGCTTCCCAGTCGATTACCCAAGCTCCACAGTGTATCAAGGCTTTGCTTGGAGCACTGCTGAGATTCAGTTCGTGGATATTGCCGTGTTCAAGGCGGGAATTAATCTTAGGGGCCACAACACCTTTTGGACCAGTGGGCCAGCTCTGTGTGAGTGCGTGCAGCCTGGTGTTGCATATGGTTTCTTAAAGTTTCTTATTGTTTCTTAAGTTTCTTATTGTGTTTGTCTTGGGCATGCCGGCAGCCTGGCAGGCGGTTGGCAGCAAGGTCCCAGCGTACAGAAACGAGTTCAACAGTCAGGAGTCAAGCAGAGTTTTTCTTCCGCTCTGCCTTTGAATCCTTTCAAGATGTTCAAGTCTACAGACGTGGATTTCAAGTGACTGCCTTGACACTGTTTCTGGCGTTTGTCAGACTGGCAGGACTTGTCCAACATCACGCAGACATTTGCAGCTGTAAGAGTCAGAGAGGAGGCTGTAATGAAAGCCGGGAACTGAGGATGCGATCTTTTGAGTACGTTTGAGTTGGTTTGACTAGTTTCCCCCAAGCCATGAAAAAAACGCGGCCCAAGGTGCTTTCAGATGCTTCCATTGCGAAGGCAACGTTCGCGTTGTGCATGTGTCACGTGGACTCCATCGTGTTTACAGACTCTCTCTCTTCACACAAGTATCCGTATACGCCGGAGTTTATGACACATGATGACACTCTGCGTATGTTCAGTGTTGGTCACGTGTTGCAGATAGACCAGTTCAAGCCCACAGAGTTGGCCTCCACTGCGTGAGGGTGCGCTCCCGCCAGAAATCAGAGCGACCAGAGACATCCAGAGACCGGCAGCACCTGCAGCTCTGAGGTTTGGGAAGCTGTGCATTTTGGATGAACCCCTTATGGCCACTACCCAAGTCACCGGACCTGAATGACCTGCTTCTGCCAAATTTCCTCTTTGACTGTTTCATGGGTGTTCCTCTTTGCCGGATTGCCAGAATGCGACTGCGTGTGACTGTGACTGCATGCTGCAAAGCAACCCAAGCCTCACACACTCCAAGTGATCGTTCCAAGGCAAACATTGCCAGCAAGGCGGTAGCAAAGATGTCAGGCCGATGACCTGTAGACATGGACAAGTAGATAGCATTGGCAGACAGATCCCCCAAAAAGACGGCAAGATCAGAGTATAGCGATGGAGGGGGAGGGAAGGAGGGAGGGAGGGAGGGAGGGAGAACATGAGAGCAACATGGCAACATGCAACACTTTTCAGCAGTATCGATTGGAAGATCTTAAAAGATCTTAAGAGGAAGCGGTCATGAGAAGGAACAGGCCCGAGCAGGCGTACCAACAGCTTGCAATCAGGCTTCAACGACCAGGCCATGTCCAACACCGCGGCAACCTCGGCAGTACTCGAGCGGAACACTTCTATCGAATTCTATCGATATTTCAATATATTTCATCATTGTGTCATTGTTTGATCCTTCTTGGAAGGCATCAGTTATCATTAGTTTTGGTGGCGCTCCATTCCTTACGATAACTTACGATCCTCGAGGTTTGGGCATTCGTGACTCTCAGCTCACCATTTGATGCACTGATGGACAAAGCTGCAGCGGAAGCGCTGCTTCGGGCCTTGGGCCCAGGAAATCCAAAGTCAACAAAAGACCAATGAAAATCAATGAAGACCCTCAGCAGCGCGCAATGATGGACACTGATGGAAGCTGCAGGGATTCAAAATGATTCAAACTTTTAGGAGACCTTTGAACAGCCAGTGCAGTATGCTTTCAAAGCTCATGCGCGGATGAGGCTCACGCGTTGGATTCACAGAACTTGTCAATGATTGCTGCAGCCTCAGTGTGATGCATGTGGCAATGCAAGTCCTGCAGATCAACGGCAGTCCAGGCATGAGACTTCGCGGAAGTGAAAAAGAGTCGCGTTGGACTCAAATGGATTAAATTCGAATTAGCCCAAACAAGTCGCCAACAAAGTGGCAAGTCGCTGAAGGGCTATGAAGGGCTCGATGCACAACATGATCTGGTCATGTGACGCATTGTGCCGTATTGCAACGCTGTGTGCAGAAGCTGTGAGGTGAACCCCTCTTTGTGGCCATCTCGCTCAGAGCTGTGGTTCTTCTCAAGCTGGGCTCTCAAGATCATCCATCGTCCAGGTATGCCCAGGTAATGCTACAGTAGGTAATGCCAGATAGCACTAGCCGCCAGGTAGCCAGGTTCTTAGATAGATATGACTGGTCTATCAAAGCGCTCCAGCGTTGACAATACCAAGGAGTTGTGCAGAAGAGTCGTCAATGCAAGAGGCAGTCCTCTACGTGTTTCCATGTTTTTCCAGCATTATTCTATGAGGATCTATGAGGTTTTATTATGTGTTTGCTATTGTTTGGTACTATTTTTTCCTTTAGTGTTACTGGATGGAGTGACTTTGGTGTGAAAGAGCCTTCAGTCAGTGTTGGCACCTATGGCTGCCTTTGCTGTTTGCAATCTTCATGCTGCTCCAGACCTTGGATTTCGATGCCATGCAGCCATATTTCAGAGCAAATTTTGAAGTCTTGACGCATTTGACGCCCGTCAAGCGATGAGCACGCTGTCCAGCGCAGAGACGCGTTCGATTGCCAAAGAGGCATTCATTTACGGATGGCCGATATGCGAGAACTACAACACGCTCTATGCTTACTCAGTGGATGTTGACAACAAAGACTACAAGGCTCCTTTCAACACAATCAGCAACACTGCTCGTGTATTCACCCCAGACGACAAGGTCATCGTGACGCCGAACTCTGATACACCCTATTCGTTTGCATGGCTCGACTTGCGTGCAGAGCCTGTGGTAATCCAAGTCCCAGTCATTGAAAAGGATCGCTATTTCTCTTTCCAACTCATTGACATGTACACCCACAACTTCGACTATCTGGGGACACGCTGTACAGGAAACCAGGGTGGTGTCTACATGATCAGTGGCCCTGGATGGTTAGGGGGTGGTTACAGTGGTGACGGCAAACCTGCAAAAGTGGACAAAGTCATTGCTTGTGAGACACCCTTCGCCCTGGCAATCGTGCGCACGCAGCTCAAGGGGCCGGAGGATTTGGAGAATGTCAAGGCAATTCAGGCAGGTTACAAAGTAGAGACCTTGAGTGCTTTTCTTGGCAAGCCTGGTCCTGAGCCCAAAGCACTCAACTGGCCTAAATCTGACAAAACGGTGACCATGTCAGTGGCCATGTTTGAGATCCTTGATTTCATGCTGTCAAACCTCCCAGTTCATGATAGCGAAACTCAACTTCGTGATCGCTTCCTGAAAATTGGCATTGGCAGTGGAGGATTTCATCTCTCCAAGATTTCTGAAGAAATGCGAAGCGCTTTGGAGATGGGTATGCAAGATGGCTGGGCAGAGTATGAGAAGGTTATCGAGAAGAGTTTCGCTTTGGGAACAATGTCAAGCGGAGACCTTTTTGGCACACGGAGTTTCTTGAAAAATGACTACATCAAGAGGTTTGCAGGCGCAAAGCTAGGGATTTACGGCAATTCCCGGGAGGAGGCCTTTTACCCCTTGTACAAGCAGCTAGATGGCCAAATCTTGGATGGTGCGAAGGCTTCTTACAAGATGGTGCTGTCAAAAGTGGACCAAGAAATTGCCACAGCATTTTGGTCTCTCACCATGTATGATGGTGTAAGCCAGCTCTTGGTGTCCAACCAACTGAACCGCTACTTGCTGAACAGTGCCATGGTGCCCTCCATGAAGACCTCTGATGGCTCACTTACTCTGTACATATCTGCCGCCTCCCCAGGGAAAGACTTGGAATCTAATTGGCTGCCTGCTCCTGCTGGCCCCTTTTATCTTGTCATGCGGCTTTACCTGCCGAAGGCCGAAGCTTTTCAAGGCTGGCAGCAGCCAAAGTTGCAGCTTGTGCCCAAATAAGATCACAGAAAATCCAACAGCAAGACTCTTTTTGGGGTCTCTCGGGGCCTCTGTGGTGAAAACCAGGTGCTCGTGCAACGCATGTAACGTACCGAGCAAAGACTTGCTGAATCCGTCCGAAACTATTTCCGGCAAGTATAAAGGAATATGATTCTATGATATTCTATGATGGATTGCATAAGAAGCTCATTGTGTGGTCTGCAGGCTTACATGCCTGCGTTGAGCCTTGCCTATGCATTTACTGTGCCAAGACCTTAGGATTCAGACAAACCGCACAAGAATGTCGGAATATGTGAGAATACTTGATCTGGTCTTTGTAAGATTTCACAATCATGTCTTATCTTGTCATTTTGTTTGGGAAGAGCCTCGGCAGATCATTCACTTTTTCAGTAGTGACGGCCACCAAAGACAACGATAAAGGTGGCAAAATGGGCCAGTTTTTGTTGAGCCTGTCAGCTTTTTGAAGGCTCTCTGCGAAGCCATCGGGCGCTGCAGATGTGCCAGCTGCAGCAGCTTGACACCTGGATGGTTGCTGCACATCTTTTACCTGCATTTGAGATAGCAGTGAGTCTTGCCTGTTTGATGTGACTAGGCCCAATGCCTTCAGAGACATGGTGCACGGCTGGATGAGAAGTTCAAGGCAATATCGGATTTCAATCGAAACTAAGGGAAATCACAGGATGAAAAGCTTCAGAGCCTTATGATGTGCATGGATAATGCATGGATTCTTGATCTGGAGCAGTTGCCACCACAAGCAGTCAAGCATCACGAATGCCATGGCAATGCCAATGCATAAAATGTGCGTTTTCGCAGTTCAACTTCGCGCCGGTTCTGGGGCAGCACAGCAGCCAACCAAGAGCATCCAAGAGCATAAAAGCTTGAAACCGTGCAATTCCGCAGAATGTTCATGAGCAGGCCATCACCTGAAGCTGTGAGGCATGACCGAGCCCGCAATTCTGCGCTGGCAGCAAGGTGTTTGCATCGCCCGAGCCCCAGGATAGAGAAATGAATCAAAAAACACAGGGAATTGCCAGATTTGCCAGGTCCGGATCGTAAAGGGCAGACAACTTCTGCAAGATTCTGCAAGGAATGTTATGCTTTCTGCCTTTCATTAAATGTTACGCGAAAGTGACATGATTAGTGTTTGAGTTTCTACATCATTCCACTAGATTCCACTAGAGCAATTTGCATTCGAGGTCTGGAAACCGCCTGGCTGGGAGGTGCCATGACGCTGCCGTTTCATGCCCTTGCAGACACAAACCCGTCACACGGCGCCAGATGTTTCCACAAGTGCAGTGCCGAGTGCTCATGTTTTTGTTGTTGCATTATATATTATATTATAATATTATGTACATGTATTTTTTGCCAGGTCACCGTTTCTGATGGAGAAGACCAGGCGGTGCCAAGTGCTCAGATGAGATCCACAACTCGAGGCAACTCGCTTCACTGCTTCACCCTCGTGAGTCTGAGGTACAGCTCAGGACCACAGTTGCAGGCCTGGATGGTGATGTCAAGCATTGACGGGTGGTGTAGTTCATGGATGAAAACAAATTACCGTCTCACGCATGTTGGATTAAGACAATTTAAAACACATCGTTGTAACATATTGTAACAATCCGATTTTTCAGGGGAGCTCGTTCACCGGCTTCCGTGTTGATCTGCATTGCAATGCTCAAGACATTCACAGTACCAAAGGTTCCCTACTTTCGACTGCAGGATTGGTTGGGCCATAGATTTCCCGACTGCCCCATTGCCAACCGCTTAGCGGACTTGAGCAGAAGGTACAGCCAGAGCTTGGCTCACGGCTTTGTTTTGTTTCTTGCTGATGGTGATTTTGCGTTACGATTTATGTTCTCTGAGGCTAGAGACCCTGTTGCCTCTTACGGCCTTGTGCATCGCTTGGACCGTGAAACGTGGGGGAGCTTGGAGGGAGTCAGCACTGTAGTGGTGACATGCGCATAACTCACTACACATAAATTCTTAAAGGCCTCGATAGCCGCCTAGTTTCAGCAGAGTTGAGACTCGGACTTCACCATTGATATTGTTTGATATTATTGGTCTCATGAGCTAAGGTCAGGTATGGTGATGTGGGCGCCAACATATCAGAGGCCTGATAGTTTGATCAAAAGGGGTAGAGAGTCATGGAACTTCGCAGCCCTGGCAGCTACTATGCTCTTCGCCTGGCGTTTGCAACAGAGCGAGTGCAGAAGGACGCGTAATAGAAATCATACGAGAGAGACAGTCAGGAATCCTGAAGATGGAGCCTTGCCGAGCATGGGAAGTTATTCGAGTCATCCGAGCATCGCCTTTTCTTTGCTTCTACGTCCACAGTGGCGCAGCAGCTGCTCACAGGAGTATCTGTGCTTGTGTGATGGTGTGGCTGCTCAGCTTCGCAACTGGCACCAGCCAATGCCGTTGGACTTTTTTCTATTACTCCAACTGCCAACTTGATTCTGAACCCGAACGCTCGCGACATTTTTGCATTCGCCGCATTCACAATGAGGCTGGCTGCCGCAAGAGCCACGGCTACTTGAAGGTGGCATTCAGAGGATTCTGCCCAAGGACTGACTTCTCAGGGCTACTAGTAGCCTGCCAATCATTGTCAGGTGGAGCTAGCGTGAGCAAGGTGGCATTATATGGCATTCTTGCTTTGGCTATGTTCGTGATCGTTGTGCACAAGATTGATAGCCATTTAAGAAGCTCTCAGATAGTGCCCTTGGGTGCTGATTGGGAGATGAAGTCCAGGCCAGCAAAGGTGATTAATTTCAACATGCTAATTGGATCCAAATCATTCTAAATTCTAAATCTATGTAGTTTGTTTGGGGCATTCGGCCTGACCATGACGTTTCTTCACACAATACCTCCTGGGCCAGTACTTGTACCGCATCGACAATCTTCTTGACCTTTCAAACACGCTTGCAAGTTGCAGGGGCAAGTTGTAGGGAGCTGCCTGCATTAAATGAAGAACTGCGATGCGTGTTACTCTTTTTAAATTGGATGCTCATGCACGCATTCTCTGAATTTATCCTGTATATAAATAATCAACAAAACCGGCATGCCAACCAGGATGAAATGAAGATCATGCCCTGCAACTTTATCCAAACACATCAAGAAAGCTCTTTTCGATATCAATAGTATGCTAGCAACTAGTAGTTATATAATCGAGGTAACTTCATGGCCAAAATATGTTAATTAATAGGCTGACATTGTTTGTGACATTGTTGCTCCCATTTGCGGTTTGATTCCTTCATATTCCTTCAGTGCGGCATGCATTGGTTGGTGTGTACTTGCAATATCACATTGCATGTTGCACTCATATATAATTTTGCGATATTCGTGTATATAAATATTTACGTAAATATGTGATGTTACAGTACATTTGAAAGGATGCGTCCTCTAAGGTTTGGAACGGGTTCAGGTCGTGCTTGTGCCAAGTATATCCACGTATATGGAGGAGCCAGGTGCTGGACGTCACACAAGCCAAGTCTCCTCATGTGGTCGACGTGCGCGCACTGAGATTCGAGATGTGGCCCAGTACTCAAGTTGTCTTTTTTGATGTGTGCAAACGATACAGGATGCATCGAAGATCATCGAAGAATGCTGACCAGGAATCAAGTCGGACTCACAACGAACTTTTTGCATCTTGTTGATTCTTTTTGATTCTTTTGCGCTGTCCATCCACTGACACCTTGAGTGGGTTTGATATGCTTGTCCAGGCGCATGCCTTGGGGCCTGGAGGCAGGGGACCGAACTGCACAACATGCAAAGCTTTGGCTTTGGAGAATCCTTGGAGAGTCCTTGGAGTAGAGAAATAATGAGAAATGCACAACTGTCTTGAAAAAAAGCAAAAAAACCCGGGAAATCTTCATCCCAAGACTTCCCAACGTTTTCACATTCCACATATTTCCACATCCCTTTTCTGTGGCCTTGGCCAGGTGAGGCTGTCAGCTTTGTCAAGGCTGGAATCGATCGCAGTGAAAGGCATGTGAAAAAATGTAGAAAATATGTGATATGTGAAAGGATTGTGAAAGGCAATGAGTTGGTTTCATTATGTCATTGGAACGGACGCGGATGGGGTCCATGGCGATGTTTGACCTTTGAGGTGCGCATCTACACAGGCCGCTTGCATCAGATCCGAGTTCACCTGAGCCACGAAGGCGCCAGAGATCCCCAGAGATTGTTTCACTATCTCCATGGCTTTAAGAAGGCACCCCCTTCATGCTCAATGCAACCTGAACATAGAATATACATAGAATTTATCCTGGATACCTTGTAGAGACTGGGAATCATCACGGCAGACCTTTGCAAGTTTGTGCTTGGGGCTTGAATATTCAACCTCATTTAGGTTGGGATAGGTTGGGATATATACGGTATATATATATATTATTATATTTATTGACTTTGGCGATGGCGATTTGGCAAGGGCATCCGCTGGTTGGGGACGGAACCTATGGTGGCAGCTGCCCTTCCTGGTCCACCTCCAAGAGTAGAAACTGCCGCGACATACTTCTGTAAACATGGTCAACTCCTATCAACTGTAAACTTGTTGAACCGTGTTGTGCATCTTTTAAATATCCTTTAGATGCGCGTGTCTGAAAGCATGAAGGCGGAGGAAGGTTCATTAGTCGAGTTGTCATAGTGCCGGTCCGAATTGATCGTCTGTAATCAAGGGTGCCTCGAATCTTCTTGCATGCTGCCAAGTTGGTGCCGCTCCCAGAGATCCCAGGTGTCTTACGCATCTTCTCCAGAACGTTCTGCCCAGTTCTAGACTTTCTGCAGGTTCTCTTACCTGATGCACCTGATGCTTGAACCTCATTATTCTCTCAGTTTGTCAATTCATGTCAATTCTACGGGGAGCTTTTAACTGTCACCTACACTTGCACGCTTGTTCCAGATGAAAACATGGCTTCAAGGTTTACAAAATAGAAGCTGCAGGCAGACCCAATGTCACAAGACTCGCCCAGTGCGCTGCAAGCAGAGCTCCCCCTTCCTAAGGCACGGGCGATGAATGCCAACTCCTGCAGAGAAATCCCTGAACTTCGGATTCCCAAAGCCTCACAGATCTGACAGGGACTTCCCCGTTTTTTGGTCTACATCCCGACACATCCCGGCCGTTCTATCCACATTTCATGACGAATGCAGACCAAGTCTTGACTGTGGCTGAGTGGCTCGAGCTTTGGGCAACGAAGGGTGCTGTCAATTCAAGCAGATCAAAGATCGAACACCTATGAAGATAGAAATTCAGAAGTTTAGGAACGCGTAGTTCAACAAGCTTAAAATCCTTTGCAGGTACTACAACAATATTGAAGTCTGCCAAATCTCAAGGCGCTTTGGTTGCTCCGTCTTGGGAATGTCCGCGTAAAGCCCATGAGCCAGAGCCCAGAGAAGAGACGCTGCACTTTGGGCAATGAGCCCCAAAACACAAGTGCTTCGCTCAGGGCAGTCGAAAAGGAACAGATACATACTATGTTACATACAGATACAAATCCTGTGTAAATTGATGTAAATTGTGTGCGTGGACATTCTGCTCCGTTCAAGGTTTCTCTTTCAATCCTTGCCGGAAGGTAGTTTCAAGAATCCACGATGGCTTCCAGTCTCAGGATCATCTTACTTTAAACCTTTTCGGGGTGAATTGTTTACAACATCCAGATCCATCATGTTGAACCTAGAAAAATCATAATAGAATAATAATTATTATTGTCATGATATCTTCTGGTTCATGTCAGTTTTCATCAATTTTCATATATCATATTATATATATATCATTTTAACATATTTTAACATATTTCATCCATGTTCATCCCATATTTCTGTCAGGTGCAAAGCAGGGAGGCTTCTCCTTTGAGGCACCGAAGCTGAACTCACCATCGGCGCCACGACCTGGGCGGCAGCAGAACGCCACAGGCACGGTTATATAATGGTGATGAATGGCGATGAATGGTGATTATATATATATAATAATATATATAACTGACTGTTACAGCCATTAGGAAAGATATGAAAGATTCAACTCATGTATGAGACATGTATCGTCTATACATTTTGTATGTAAAGCGCAATGTATTCCTAATAATTATATATATATAACTGATACGATACATGTCTCATACATGAGTTGAATTTTTCCTAATGGCTGTAACAGTGTTATAAAATCGATTTCATTCTATGTTGGACAAGCTTTGTTTTGAGTGCTTTCCTTCGTGCAAAAAATCGTGCTTTTTGGTTCTCTCCGTGTAAAAGTTCGCGGTCTAGATCATGCTGTTTGGCGCTCTCCTTCGTGCAAAAAGTCGTGCTTTTTGGTGCTCTCTCGTGCAAAAAATCGCGGTCTAGATCGTGCTTTTCGGTGCTCTCCTTCGTGCAAAAAAACGTGGTTTAGATCGTGGTTGCTCTTACAGCTATTAGGAAAGATTCAACATACATGTATGTTATCTACACATTTCCAAGGCTCATTGTGGCGCACCCATTGCACTGGTGAGGCCTCACCGTACCAAAGGCTCAAGACCGTGCACGGTCTTGGGATGGAGCCAAAGGCACGGAGATAAAGAGAAAGAGATGAAAGAGTCAATGTGGAGGATTCCATTGGCGTACCCCAAAATGGATGGTTAAGAAAAAATATAATACTATTAACCCAGCTTTGCAACCCAACAGCATACCTGAATCTTCCACCTACGTCTTTTTTCAGACCCTGTGCCAAAATCCTGTTTTTCAGTACCCAGAAAACTTTTCAGGACCTACTCTCAAATTCAGGACCTGGCCATTTTGGGGTATCAATGGTAATGGCAATCATTGGGTGCAAACATGTGAAACCAACATTTGGGGGATATTCAAGCCATTGGCATTGATCCATGCAAATAAAAGCACTCCCAGCCCAAACTCATGGCAAGGCAGGATCAGAATATAGTATATTCCAGAAAGTATGTCAGAATAGATGCCAGATAGGATGCCAGAAAGAATGTCAAATAGAATTTCAGAAAAGAATGTAAGATAGTATGTCAGAACATATGTGCCACATATACGTCCAGATGATATGTCAGAAACTATGTCAGAATAGTGTGTCAGGGTGGGGATCACTCTTAGTAAGGCAATTTTGAAAATATATTTCAGGTTCGGAATTTTCAAACTGTTGTCCTTCAGGCGCCGAAGCTCCCGTTGAAGGTCAGCATCGCCCCATGTCAACTGGTCCAGTCCCACTTCCGTTTCAACAAGTCCAACTTCATCGATTAGGGTGTTGGTTGAATGGACTTGGGACTCTAGCTGGCACGGCATCCCTTGTAACCCTGTAGACACTGTAGTGGGCAAAAAGATTGTAACACACAGAATCAGCATCATTTTGATCAGGCATTCTTTTTGCTAATCCTTTCTCCCTATTACGAAAAATACCCCCAAATGACAAAAACTAGGTGCGATTTCCAATTTTGGGAAATGTCAAATTGGTTAATCTGATTTTTAATTGATCCCCTTGAGGAAACAATTTTAAAAATGAAGGTACCATGTGAGGGTTTCACCCCCAAAGAACAAAAAACTAGTCAACACCGGGGTGTCTTTTATTGGGGTCCGTCCTTTAAAATCGTCAATTTTAGTTTTTTTAATTCAGGTGTTGGTGTTTTATTTGATACTAGGCGAAAGCTGCGAAATCCTATTCTTGGCAGTATTCTATTTAAAGATTATTTTCATGGATTTTGAAATTAGAAACAAAAAACGGTTTAATCCCTTCCCCCTGTTGCTAAACAGTCGCCCCTTCACCCACCCACCCAAATAACAAACACCTGGAGGAATTTTTAGTATTGGGGGGGTCTTTAGTATTAGGGTACGAAGCTTCCCCCTAATACTGATAAAAAAACACACACACACACGCATATATATATATACACATATTTCTATTTAAAAATCGATCAGATTTCTTTCTTTTTAAATCCAATTAAAATATGGCAAACAAGTGGATTCCGAAGCTTAATATCAAATAAAACCCCCAACATAAAAAATTATGTATGTTTTTCTTTTTCGAAATCGATTAGATTTCCTTTTAAAAATTTAAATAAAATATGGCCAAAAAATTGGATGTCGAAGTTTTTCCCTTATATTAAACCCTAATATCATTTTGTTTTTTTCCTGTTTCAAAATCGATTAGATTTCCTTTTGAAATCTAATGAAAAAAAAACAAAAAAAATGATTTTGAAGCTTTCCCCTAATATCAAATTAAAATCCAATTGTTAAAATATGTTCAAAAATTGGATTTCGATGCTTCCCCTAATCTTGCATGAAAAATTCCAATATAAAAAACTAAATTTGTTCTATTTCAGAATCGATTAGATTTCCTTATAAATCAAATTAAGATATTGCCAGAAATTGGATTTCGAAGCTTTCCCCTAATATTAAACCCTCATATCAAAGACTATTTTTTCTATATCAAAATTCATTAGATTTCCTTTTGAAATCTAATTAGAATATGGTCAAAAATTGGATTTTGAAATTTTCCCCTAATATTACATTAAAAAAACCCTAATATAAAATATTATTTTTTCTTTTTTGAAATCGATTCGATTTCCTTTTAAATTGTAGTAACAAAAATAAAAACAAAAACCGGATTTCGAAATGTTTCCTCTAATAATAAATTACCAGCCCTAATATATTTTTTAAAAAAAGAACTGTTTCAAAATCGATTAGTTTTCTGTTTAACATATAATTAAGATATTGCTAAAAATTGGATTTCGAAGTTTTCCCCTAAGATTAAATTAAAAACACTAATAAAAAAAAACTATGTTTTTTCGATTTCAAGAATCGATTAGATTTCCTTTTGACATCCAGCAAAAATATTTCCAGGCAATGCCAAAAAGTGGATTTCGAAGTTTTCCCCCAATATTAAAAAAACGTTGTAATATAAAATACTTATTTTTTCGACCTTAAAAGACCCTAGTTTAAAAAAACACCGGGGCTGACTAGTTTTTATTTTTTGGTGGTGAAATTCTGAAATGGGACCTTCATGTTTAATTTGTTTTTGAAAAGGTATCAATTAAAAGTCAAACTGGCCAGCCTGAAATTTCCCAAAATTTAACGCGGACCCTAGTAAAAGGAATCAATGTAATATTTTAGTATTTAGGGTACGTTTAGTAAAAGGAGATGGGGATTAGTAAGGTTTTCAATTTCATATAAGGGGAAGCTTCGAAATCCAATTTGGCAAGATTTGAGTTAGATTTTGAATAGGAATTCAATCGGTTTTGAAATATAAAGTTCATTTTTTAAAACAAATGTTTTCAATTTAATGTCACGGGGAAGCTTCGGAATCCAATTTTGGCAATATTTTAGTTAGATCTTATTTAAAAAATGTTTTCCAATTTAGTTTTTTTAAACCAAGGGGGAAGTTTCGCACCCTCATACTAAATACCCACTAAATACAAAAAACTATTCCGTGTGTTCATTATTGGGTGGGGAGGGGCAGACGGTTTTTTATGACGCAGGGATTGGTCAGGCATCACTTGCCGGAATTATTGGATTCTTTTGGGATGATTGGTATGATGTTTAGTCAGGCATGGTTCCCTTCAGTCATGCACGATTTTTGCAAAAATCCTATTTAGGCACGACCCCAAAATCCCAGCCCGGCAAATTCCGGCCCGGGCCCGGCAAATTCCGGCCCGTGCCCTGCAAATTCCGGCCCTGCGTTTTTCCAAAATCAGGCAAAACCAGTAAATCAGGTATTAAGTCAGGTGTAGTTACCTTTTAAGTCATTAAAGCTAGTCAGGCATGGTTCCAGTGGGTACCTTTTAATTGTGAAGGCTAGTCAGGCATGGTTCCCTTAATTCAGAGGCATGGGTACCTTTTAATTATGAAGGCTAGTCAGGCATGGGTTCTGTTAAGTCAGGCGTGGGTGGGTACCTCTTAATTATGAAGGCTAGTCAGACATGGTTCCCTTAAGTCGGGTGTGGTTACGCTTTAAGTCATGAAGGCTAGTCAGGCATGGGTACCTTTTAAGTGATGAAATCTGAATCAGGCGGAGCTCCTATTCTAAATGTGTTAAATAAAATTGTTCAGTGTGGAAAATCGATTTTTTTTGGCTGGTCTACGGGCAAACCCTGTGTCTTCCAATACCATAGCGTGCTGATGCCGCTTGCCTGCATAATAGTTAAGGCCAAAGCTTAGGTCATCAGTGTGATCCTGAAATGGCGCCACGACCAAGAAGATGACATGTGTAAAATGGGCCCTGGATTAACAAAGGCTGACTAATGAATTTGGAGGATGCCACTAAAGTATGACATGTAATCACTTTTGAGGAGCACTCTATGGCACGCAGCGCGCGCAGCCTGCTTTACGGTTTAGCGTTTGAAAGTTTTAGGCTTTGTCTCTATGGCACGCAGCGTTTGAAAGTTTAACCATTTACCTCTATGGCAGGCTGTGCGCGCAGTACGCGTTACGGTTTAAAGTTTGAAAGTTTTAGGGTTTATGTGTGTGGCACGCAGTGCGCGCAGCGCGCATTAGGGTTCAGGGTTTGGAAGTTTTATAGTTTATTTTATTGCATGCAGCGTGCACGGTTGCAGGGTTCCAAGGTTCCAGGGTTCCAAGGTTGCAGGGTTCCAGAATCCTTGAGGGTTCCAGGGTGCCAAGGTTCCAAGGTTTCAGGGTTCCACGGTCGCAGGGTTCCAAGGTTCCAGGGTTTCAGGGTTCCGGGGTTCCAGGGTTCCAGGGTTCCAGGGTTCCGGGGTTCCAAGGTTTCAGATTTCCAAGGTTCCAGGGTACCAAGGTACCAGGGTCCCACGGTTTCAGGGTTCCAAGGTTTCCACGGTTCCAAGGGTTCCAAGGGTTCCAAGGGTTCCACGGGTTCCAGGGTTTCAGGGTCCCAGCAGGGTGCCAGGTGTGCAGGGTTGCAGGGTTCCAAGGTTCCAGGGTTCCAAGGTTCCAAGGTTGCAGGGTTCCAGAATCCTTGACATTTCCAGGGTGCCAAGGTTCCAAGGTTTCAGGGTTCCACGGTCGCAGGGTTCCAAGGTTCCAGGGTTTCAGGGTTCCAGGGTTCCGGGGTTCCAGGGTTCTGGGGTTCCAAGGTTTCAGGGTTCCAGGCTTCCAGGGTTCCAGGGTCCAGGGTTCCAGGGTTCCAGGGTTTCAGGGTTCCAGGATCCCAGCAGGGTTCCAGGTGTGCAGGGTTCCAGGTGTGCAGGGTTGCAGGGTTCCAAGGTTCCAGGGTTCCAAGGTTGCAGGGTTCCAAGGTTTCAGGGTTCCACGGTCGCAGGGTTCCAAGGTTCCAGGGTTTCAGGGTTCCAGGGTTCCGGGGTTCCAGGGTTCCAGGGTTCCAGGGTTCCGGGTTCCAAGGTTTCAGGGTTCCAGGGTTCCAGGGATCAGGGTTCCAGGTTCCAGGTTCCAGGGTACCAGGGTCCCACGGTTTCAGGGTTCCAAGGTTTCCAGGGTTCCAAGGGTTCCAAGGGTTCCAACGGTTCCAACGGTTCCAGGGTTTCAGGGTCCCAGCAGGGTGCCAGCAGGGTGCCAGGTGTGCAGGGTTGCAGGGTTGCAGGGTTCCAAGGTTCCAGGGTTCCAAGGTTGCAGGGTTCCAGAATCCTTGAGGGTTCCAGGGTGCCAAGGTTCCAAGGTTTCAGGGTTCCACGGTCGCAGGGTTCCAAGGTTCCAGGGTTTCAGGGTTCCAGGGTTCCGGGGTTCCAGGGTTCCAGGGTTCCGGGCTTCCAATGTTTCAGGGTTCCAGGGTTCCAAGGTTCCAGATTTTCCAGGATTCCAGGATTCCAGATTTTCCAGGATTCCAAGGTTCCAGGGTTCCAGGGTTCCAGGGTTCCAGGGTTCCAGGGTTCCAAGGTTGTTCCAGGGTTCCAGGGTTCCACCGGATTTTGAAGGCTGCAAGTCCCCGCGAGCCAGCCCCAGCCCTAGAGATTGAAACCCAACAGGCCCTGCTGTTGGGAATTAAAATCGCTAGGCGATGCAAGGCAGTGCCAGATTTTGATACTATGTGTTGCTCGGACTGGCTGCTGAGCAGGGACAGAACCTCCAAAGTCTCCAAAGCAGTCACGGCCAGCAGGAACTGCACAGGTTCCTCGGCTGCCTGCTTTGTATCTTTGTTTATTATCTTTGCATTCTTTGGACGAGATTCTTGTCGAATTCAATTTCATGGGAAGTCTTTTTTTTGGTAGGCCAGCTAGTAGGAGACAGCAGGAGACGTATGTATATATATAATATAATTATATAATATATATATATATATATATGCAAGGGTTGCTGTCGGCCACAAGTGAACCGACATGCACAGCCAAGGCGAAATCTGCCAGCCCAGTAGTGCCATGCAGAGAAGTCAAAAGAGCAGGAAGCAAAGCCGAAGGTGAGAGCTACTCGGTGATTTTGAACGACTCGAGCGCAGTGCTGCAGAATGCCACCACCGATTTCAACGTCTTGTCTTTGTGCATTTTGTGCGATCTCCTTGTTTCTTTCGCATCTGTTGCAGATATCCGGGAATTCACCAAAGCACATTGTATAAACATCTGTGACACGCACACACACGCACACGCACATTGTGGGTAAATTATAACGATCTCCCTGCGACGTCACTGGAATAATGGTTAGTACTGTAAGAGGAATTATCCTAATAATAAAGCCTTATTTCGGGTTAGTGAATCACTATAATTTACCCATACGCATAGCATATCATCTAGTAATGAGATATGTATATATATCCTCGTGTTATATATGGTGTATATTGATTACTTTATGCGTATATCTATATAGTACTGTAATATATCAAAATAGAAAAAAAGTATGTGTGTGTGTGATTGTTTTCTTTTAATATATATAATATTTAAGGGCTGCCGCCCCTGCCGCCGACCCCGGAAAAGAATAAGTAAAGGTTCTCTTGCCGAAGTAAACGTTCGTAAGGTTCCGCATGTTTTGCGGACCATGCAACTGTTCGAGAAAGTGAAACAATATCCGGCAAAATATACCTGATGCAGATGACTTATAGGCCTTGAGCAGATGCCGCAATGTTCCAATTTCATCAAGGGCTGGTGAAACAGGCAAGAGTGACGAGACAGTTGACATGAAGCTTGCTCTGAACTGAACAACACATCTATGTGCATTTGGGCTGAGAGACCTAAGACTAAACTGCTAAAAGCTATTAGGACAAGAAAGCTCCAGCTTAGAGGTCACCATATATCATCACAAAGACCTAAGGTGTGGTGCATCATTTTTTTGTGCGCCACGCAAAAGTTATTTGTTTAGAGTTGTTAGAACGACATGCTGCAGATGTGACTTGCCCATGGTTATTTTGGCTACACTTTGCCCTTGCAGACTTCGACCCAAGTGAGGGAGCCAAGCCATGAATCAAGAGGAAATTTCAAAATGTGAAGAAGGAAAATGGATGACGATTGTATGTTTTCCATTAGGTATTGTGGAAAAACGGCATGTGGGGGTGCAACATGCAAGTTTTTGTAGTGAAGTGAGTCATCAGGTGTGGGATTTGAAGTTCGATGATGGATGTTTGCGGAAATTATCATGAAGATGCCCACATATCTGTCTACTTTTGGATAGATTGACATTTGTTTCAAGTTGTTGGACTCGTTCGTGTCCTCCAAATGAGGCTGCAAAACTTGGAATGATGTCTTGTGCCAGATCGCTAAATACTCGCTGTAGTGAAGCTCTTTTTAGACGAAACTATCCGAATCCAGGATGTGAATTTGCCCAACCTGAGTGGATAGATACTGAGGTTCATGGGTTGTACCCTCTGTTACACCTACAAGTTTTATTGTGAGAAGATGCCAGCTCGCCAAAATCTACGTTTTTCGGAACCGGAACGTCCCTTCTGAAATCCTACAAAAATATCATTTTTCCACCTTATTTCCACCTTGCTAAGAGCTGTTAAAAGCTGCTGGCTGCTGCTGGCTGGCTGCTAGCTGCTGCACGGCTGCCGCTGCTCTTAGCCTGCTAAACACTTCCCGGCAGTAAAACTCCCTTCTGAAAGCCTACAAATCCTACAAAACTAGCATTTTTCCACCTTATTTCCACCTTGTTACAAGCTGTCAAAAGCTGCTGGCTGGCTGCTAGCTGGCTGCTTTTACTGTTGCTGCTGGCGAACGCTTGCGAAACACTTCCCGGCAGTAAAACAGCATGGCCCCAAAGGACGAACTGATGCCAAAATCTACGTTTTTCGAGGCCGGAACGTCCCTTCTGAAATCCTACAAAAATATCAGATTCCATCTTATTTCAACCTTGTTACAAGCTGTTAAAAGCTGCTGGCTGCTGCTGGCTGGCTGCTAGCTGCTGCACTGCCAGCTGCGGCTGCTCTTACTGCTGCTGCTGGCGAACGCCTGCGAAACACCTCCCGGCAGTAAAACAGCATGGCCCTAAAGGACGAACCGATGCCAAAATCTACGTTTTTCGGGGCCGGAACGTTTGAAATCCTACAAAAATATCATTTTTCCACCTTATTCCACCTTGTTAAGAGCTGTTACAAGCTGCTGGCTGCTGCTGGCTGGCTGCTAGCTGCTGCACGGCTGCCGCTGCTCTTAGCCTGTTAAACACCTCCCGGCAGTAAAACTCCCTTCTGAAATCTTACAAATCCTACCAAAATATCATTTTTCCACCTTATTTCCACCTTGTTAAGAGCTGTTAAAAGCTGCTGGCTGGCTGCTAGCCGCTGCACTGCTGCCGCTGCTCTTACTGCTACTGCTGGCGAACGCCTGCGAAACACCTCCCGGCAGTAAAACAGCATGGCCCTAAAGGACGAACCGGTGCCAAAATCTACGTTTTTCGAGGCCGGAACGTCCCTTCTGAAATCCTACAAAAATATCATTTTTCCACTTTATTTCCACCTTGTTACAAGCTGTCAAAAGCTGCTGGCTGCTGGCTGGCTGCTAGCTGCTGCACTGCTGCGGCTGCTCTTACTGCTGCTGCTGGCGAACGCCTGCAAAACACCTCCCGGCAGTAAAACAGCATGGCCCTAAAGGACGAACCGATGCCAAAATCTACGTTTTTCGGGGCCGGAACGTCCCTTCTGAAATCCTACAAAAATATCATTTTTCCACCTTATTTCCACCTTGTTAAGAACTGTTAAAAGCTGCTGGCTGCTGCTGGCTGGCTGCTAGCTGCTGCACGGCTGCCGCTGCTCTTAGCCTGCTAAACACTTCCCGGCAGTAAAACTCCCTTCTGAAATCCTACAAATCCTACAAAACTAGCGTTTTTCCACCTTATTTCCACCTTGTTACAAGCTGTTACAAGCTGCTGGCTGGCTGCTAGCTGGCTGCTTTTACTGCTGCTGCTGGCGAACGTTTGCGAAACACCTCCCGGCAGTAAAACAGCATGGCCCTAAAGAACGAACTGATGCCAAAATCTACGTTTTTCGAGGCCGGAACGTCCCTTCTGAAATCCTACAAAAAGATCAGATTCCATCTTATTTCAACCTTGTTACAAGCTGTTAAAAGCTGCTGGCTGCTGCTGGCTGGCTGCTAGCTGCTGCACTGCCAGCTGCGGCTGCTCTTACTGCTGCTGCTGGCGAACGCCTGCGAAACACCTCCCGGCAGTAAAACAGCATGGCCCTAAAGGACGAACCGATGCCAAAATCTACGTTTTTCGGGGCCGGAACGTTTGAAATCCTACAAAAATATCATTTTTCCACCTTATTCCACCTTTTAAGAGCTGTTACAAGCTGCTGGCTGCTGCTGGCTGGCTGCTAGCTGCTGCACGGCTGCCGCTGCTCTTAGCCTGTTAAACACCTCCCGGCAGTAAAACTCCCTTCTGAAATCTTACAAATCCTACCAAAATATCATTTTTCCACCTTATTTCCACCTTGTTAAGAGCTGTTAAAAGCTGCTGGCTGGCTGCTAGCCGCTGCACTGCTGCCGCTGCTCTTACTGCTACTGCTGGCGAACGCCTGCGAAACACCTCCCGGCAGTAAAACAGCATGGCCCTGAAGGACGAACCGATGCCAAAATCTACGTTTTTCGAGGCCGGAACGTCCCTTCTGAAATCCTACAAAAATATCATTTTTCCACTTTATTTCCACCTTGTTGCAAGCTGTCAAAAGCTGCTGGCTGCTGGCTGGCTGCTAGCTGCTGCACTGCTGCGGCTGCTCTTACTGCTGCTGCTGGCGAACGCCTGCAAAACACCTCCCGGCAGTAAAACAGCATGGCCTAAAGGACGAACCGATGCCAAAATCTACGTTTTTCGGGGCCGGAACGTCCCTTCTGAAATCCTACAAAAATATCATTTTTCCACCTTATTTCCACCTTGTTAAGAGCTGTTAAAAGCTGCTGGCTGCTGGCTGGCTG